AGCTCCAGCCTGATGATCCCACAAAGATCAGGGGAAATGTGCTGGAATCTCTCCAGCAGGAGACATACCAGGTCCCCACCGCAAACATGAAATTGAAGGAGAAGTCCATGAGGATCAGGATGATATCTTAATGCTGGGAAAGAAGAAAAGTCCCATTGGGGCATTGGCAAATGTCAGTGCTGATTCACTGAGTCAACAATTCTCTCTGCATGCTCTCTTGGTGCCAGCACTGTGTTATAAGATGAAGACTCCCGGACAAGTGAGACACCAACCTGATGTCAAAGAACAATAGAGGAAGAAAATGAGCAGAAACTCATGGCATCTCAGTGAATAGCTCACGGAGACTTCCTGAATCCTATTGACTTTATATGAAGTATTCCTTAGGTAGTGTAGATAAGGATATTACTATCAGTATGTTTTTGAGTGGGAATAGGCGAAGAGAGCTCCATTATTATATCCATTGATAATCCCTTATTCCACAGGTGTAGAGAAAGTCACAAGTTGGTAGCTGGACTCATTGCTTCACCTGATCTTTATGATAGGCTCACAGGACCATTAGCCTGGTCCCTGAAGTTCTTGTATTCCAATAGAAACTAGAAACCAATGGCTTTGAGAACATTTTTTTCCTGTGAAGACTGATGTCAGCATTGTATCACTTAGAGCATGATGAAAGAGATCATATTTCTATTTATGTAAGACAGCATTAAAGATATCATATTGCAGATGAGAAACCTAGGGCAGTGCTTAAAGTACATTCTATAGCAGATACGGCACAGAGTGGGAGACCTGTCAGAAGGAGGTAAATATGGCTGCCGCACCATGTGCATGAACCTGGAGCCATATGCTGACACCTACAGAGACCTGGGCTATTGCCAGTCACTCTCACATAGACAGAAATGTTCTTACTTTTAAGAACAGGAAGATGAGTGCTTTTCCTCCTGAAAAAACCAAGGTCCACACAGGTGTGAAAAACATCTGCATACCCCAGGCAGGTGTTACAGAGGAGAGATAAGAATGTGTGTGTGAGCACACACATATACAAGCAGGTCCTGGGATTTGAACTCAAGGCCTCGGTACTGTCCCTGAACTGTTTTGCTCAAGGCTAGTATGCTACCATTTGAGCCAAAGCTCCACTTCCAGTTTTTTGGTGCTGAAACAGGGGTAAGATTCTCATGACTTTTTCCTCTCCATGCCTGCTTCCAATTGTCATCTTCAGACCTGTCTCCTGATAGCTAGGATTCCATGCATGAGCCACTGGTGCCCAGCTGAGTTAAGAATCTTATAGCTAGTGCACTTTCTTTTTACATGTTAAGAGTGATAAATTTAATGGGAGGAACAAAAATAACATCATCCCAGGAATAACATATAGAAAACTTCTTTGAACAATCAATGGCTGGGGCCAAAAGACAGCTTGAGAGATCCCCCCTTCTTCTCCATCCTGCCTGTGAATAAGCCACATTTCTTTCATCTGGTACAAAGGCCTGGTAAACCCTCTTGACCTGCTTTCCCACTAGCCATTTATTCCCAGGATTTCCTCCATCAAAATGCATGAGTCCCCCTGAAAGAATGGTTAACATTTCAGAACCCCTTTTACACACAAGAAAGTGGCCAAGGTTGGAAATACTCATTCAAAAGAGGTTATACGCTTATTGCATGCAGCACTCTGTAACTTATGATGGATGAAACCAGGATTTTTCAGAAAACTACAGAACAAACAGATCAGCCTAGAGTGAGAAATTGTGATGAAATCATTAGGGTCATCTAAAGTGCCCTGATCAGGCATTCATTTAGGAACTGTGTGTGTGTGTGTGTGTGTGTGTGTGTGTGTGTGTGTGTGTGTGTGTGTGTGAAAAAGAGAGAGAGAGACAGAGAGACAGAGACAGAGAGACAGAGAGAGAGAGAGAATTATCTGGATTAAAACATAACCTGCCTCCATGGACCAGGACAATAGAATGTCAGTAGCTCTCTCCCTTTGGTACTCCAAGCCAGTCCTAGTTTATTTAAAATAAGTGCTCTCTTGGAAGCATTTAGCCAGCACAGATGAAAACTTTGACTGCTAAGGATCTTAGCTTCAGTTTAGATTTGGCAGCCACCCAATGGCATCTCTGATCTAAAAACAATCAGTCACCAGGAGCCTAGCACCCCAGTGAGTCCCAGGGTGATTAGCTGAGTCTTGGCATGTCTCATCAGTTTGAATCTAGGATGGCTAATCTGGGCACAGGATCTGGACAAAGCTGTTCATCTAAATTACTCAAATCCACAGGTAGATTCTCATCAGCTTTCTCCTTTCCTCTTGATCTATCTTCTGTTTCCATAGCAGCTAAAACCTCAGTGAAATGGCAGCATCTGGCCAGGGCTCAGGTAAAAATCTCCTTTGGAAGTGAGTCAGCTTGATGGCCACAAAGGGGGGAACAAAGGCCTCCAGGACACAGCAGCATGAGTACCAGAAAGATGCAGAGAAGAGGTTTGACAGTAGAGGGGGAATAACTATGTGTTACTATAAGGGAAAGAGACAGAGACAGAGAGACAAAGAGAAAAGGAGGGACAAGATGAAAAAAAAGAAACTAAGGCAGAAAAAAATAGGAGCTTGTGAGAGAAAAGGAAAGAACTAACAAAGATACAGAAAATGATAGGTATAAAACAAAAGAAATCTCAATGCCTGGAGGAGAAATGGGAAGGATATCAAGACGAAGACAAAGAACTGACTGGTCAGAGGTGAGACTGAGAAAAGACATCAAACTGGAGACAGCCTCTTGGCATGAGGAGAAGAAAGTGTACTCAGATGATACATGTTTTGTAGATTCAAAAGATTCAAAAGGCACAGGCCACCCTAGCACACAGTAGCACTGGGAACTCATCAACACTAAGCCATGATGCACAGTGTGCATCATTGCTTTAAAAAAAATCTGTCCATTCGGATGTCCCAAGTCCATCCTCCATCATTAATGACCTCATGCAGAGCTAAGGCCTCCTCTCAGTCCACTCACAAGGTCATTTCAAATGGAGGGATTGGCAGAGGCACAAGAACAATGGCATAGGAAAGCCCCTTGGAATTTGAGACAAATACAACCTAAGATTTGTCTTGTTGAACCCATTGATCCTTCAGTACTGTCACTTTTGAAGAGAAGAACCTCATTGTGTGGAGACCATTGTGGTGGGACAGAGGTTTTCTAAATGTTCAAGTGTAATGGCCATGAGTGCCACCTTCAGGAATGCAAGTGTTATGCCACCAATGAACCACAAGCTGAGATGAACAGTCCTAGTTTCAGCCCCTTGTAGGACTGCCTTATGGGAAATCAGATACCTGCTAAGCACAAGATCGCAGCCCTTCTGGGAACAGCCTAAATGCACAGGCTTGACCATGGATAGAAAGGCACTGCTTCATCTCTGCAGATGCAGGCATGTAAGAATGGTCCTAAGGGCTAGAGAATGGTGGACATAACACATGGCAGACAGTATGTGGCTCATCATGGTGCTTCTTGTTGCCATAGTGCCTCAGGCCCCTGCTCAAAATGGGGCTTATTTTTCCCATATTGTTCTGGGTTCCTGATCAAAATCCTGTTAGTTGCGAGATACTACCTCATACCAATTGGGTATGAACAATCAGATTTACTTCCATAATTATGCCCAACACTGGGGAGACAATCAAAAGAGTTTGGCAGCAAGTATACAAGCTACCAAGCAATCAGCACAACTCCAGAGAAGGACAGGTCAATCAGGGGAGGAGATAGGGGAGGAGCTCCCTGAACTGTAACAACTGCCCTCCTGGAAGAAATAAGGGATTTGTGGCTCAAAAAATGGCCTGTACTTTACTTGCCGCTTTACTACATTTCACTATGTCTCTAACTCTTTAGTTCTTTACCCGGCAGAGAAATGGATCTGTACCACTAGATGACATCACATTTACAAAACTTGCCTTCTCTGAGTCACTTGTGGCTACCCAACTTGCAACACCTTTTGGAGCCCTTAAAGTTACCTTGCCCAGCCATATATACACCTTCCTTCATCTAAGCATGTAAATGCATAAATACATATATAACTACACAATAATAAGAAACAGAGCTAAGGACTTCTCTACATTCCTTTCCTTTCCATATCCAGAGGCATTCCTTGACCAAACCTCTTGTTCTTTTGTCCATTTATACTGTTCCAGTGTCTCAACCTATTACATTCTGGACTTATTCTTTTATTTTTTGGTCATCTGTCTCATGACAATGTGAATTCTTAAGAATATAAATTTGTCAGTTTTGGAATATTGCTAAATCCCACAGTGCCTAAAACAGCCTGAACTCTTGCAATATTCAATAAGTATTTAAGAACAAATGAAATAACATTATTGTACTTTGATCCCAAATGAGAGTTAGCTTAATGATAAATGACATCTTGTCTTAAATTCTGAAGGTTTTAATACTCATTCCATGAATGCGCAAAATGCTCAGTCTGGTCTGCATAACATCTGAACATTAAGACAAAATAAATTTTGCAATTTAGCCACCCATTAAGTTATATTTGTTTTCGAGGATCACTCAGAGAGAAGCAACAGATAGACCACAAAAACAACTAATGACCAGGTTTTTGGCAATGCTGAAGAGGCACAGACTAGGAAATTTCCTTTTAGGAGCATGGCCATTTACAGCTCTTATCCATCATTGTGTGTTTATGTTTGGTATCCTCAAAAACAACCAGCTGTACAGTCCACCAAAGCACCTCCTTCCACCATCAAGTATGACAAGGGAAGTTCACTCAGAACATTTTAACCACCATTTCACCAGAGACAACTAGAATTAATTTCCACAGGAGAGATACTCAGATACGATTTCTGAAACCTTTGAAGATGTTGTGGACTTACAGAGGACATGAAAATTATCTGTAGACTCACGGGTATAACATTATCAGACCACCAGAAATGTAGAAGCCCTGGGAGTGAGGTGTCAGGTGTCATCCTTCTGGACAACAAGTCTCCCCTTGCCTCTGTTGACCCGATGCAGCAAACTTCTTACCTTTGGGAGAAATGTGTCTCCAGGTAACTGTCGGCTCTGGTCTACCTGTGGCTATGCAGGTGAGGCTGATATTGTTCCCTTCGTTAATGGAGATATCTGAAGAGATCTCTACAATTTTGGGAGATACTGTGGAGATAAAAAAAAATAGGTAGAAGAAAAATATGAATACTGCTGACTCATTTCTTTGTGGTCTTAGAAAAGTACCTGATAGAATTGCCTAAAGTCTGAAATGCATGGACTACCACTGTAAATAGTGAGACATTAGAGAAAGGACCTTAAATATGAAAAATTACGTAGAATTTAGTTTCCTCTTGACTGGGCTTTAGTCCTAAGTCAAATGTCTAAGCGGGACTACATTCTACTGTAGTTCTGCACGCATTGTTCTAACTATGCCTTCTTCCTGTCTCTACTCTCACCCATCCACCAACATCTGTCCACGAGTCATTCTTCTTACTGTGTACAGAGATGGCTTTATATAATGCAGTTCTTGAGCAGGGCACACTGCTACTCAGAATCAAGCATCAGCCTAGGTTCTTAGTACCAGCTCCAGCAATCTAACTCTGCTCACACACTTTCCCAGCATCATCCATGGAGATCATTACAGCCTTGCTGCTTACATCCTTCCTGAAATCTCCCTGTTTTTCTTTCAGGCCCAAGACAAATGTCACTTTCTTTGTGGTGAACTTTACTACCCCTTTACCCTTGACCTCTTTAACAACTCAAATTTAGTCCTACTTCTTTGCCTGTGTTTCTGGAACACATATACCTGATCCATGACAGGGAATTGAAAATAAACTGTCAGCCTTTTTTCACATTCTCTCTCTCTCTCTCTCTCTCTCTCTCTCTCTCTCTCTCTCTCTCTCTCTCTCTCTCTCTCTCTCTCTCTCTCTCTCTCTCTCTCTCTCTCTCTCTCTCTCTCTCTCCCTCTCTCTCTCTCTCCCTCCTGTCTCTCTCTCTTCCCCCATCTCCTCTGTCTCTGTTCTCTCTCTCTCAGTATTGTGTATCTCTCAGTCTATATTTCTCTCTTTTACAAAAAGGAAAATGCATTGTGGAGGCGGGAGGGGGAAAAAAGTCCTTAAAATGTTGTACAAAGATGTTTCAATTCAACATGTGAATATGAGTATAAAACATCTTGATCAAAATCACTCCTTTTATCATTCCCCCTATCTTTCTCAACTCTACCCATCCTGTCAATTTACCTAGTTCCATTTTTACATTTATACAGTGAATATTATGACTGCATTCACCCACACTTCCTCTCTCCATTTGTCTGTCACCCTCTCCATTTGTCTGTCACCACCTTTTACTTCAATTTATTCCCCTCCACCCTACAGTACATGTGCCAGCTTGTTTTTATTCTTATTTTTTTAGGTCCTGAGGCTTGAACTCTCAGCCTGGGGGAAGTTCCTAGGCTCTTTTTTTCTCAATTCCAGCTCTCTACTACTTGCACTATAGTTCAACTTCCAGGCGTTTCTGTGATTTATTGGAGATAAGAGTCTCAGACTCTGTACTGACTTCAAACCATGATCCTCAAATCTCAGCCTCCTGAGTAGCTAGGATTACAGGTGTGAACCACAAGCAATAATTATTTTGTTGAACTCTGAGTTATTTGTCCAAAGGAAATGCTTCTCATGATGGATGGAGTTGGAGGCAGGACATTTATGGTCTTTAGCTTGTCTCTTGCAAGCCGACATGCCTGCGGTGCATTATCCTCTGCTTGTTAAACAGAAACAGAATCTCACATGAGCGACTGTATGTGTACACCTGTCTCTCACCAGGATCCAGCATAAAAGATTATTGTTGTCCCACACCTGAGTTCACTCTGCAGTACCACCTTTACTACTAGCCAATGGGATATTGGGTCTTGCATGTGGCTGCTCATTTGTTTAATCTGTCAAATGGTTTATATCATGTGGATAAAGTGAGAATGTCATTTGTGGATCCCATAAACTCCAAGTGTAGACACTTACCCCACAGACTATGGCTATTTGCTTGCTTCTCTCATCTGCTAGACCACAAGCTTTCTGGTGGCCTGAGCATGCTTCCTCAAATTACCTTCTACAAATGTTTACAGGATTGAATTACAATGGTTGTCCAAGGGAACTACCTTTCCAACCTGCTCCATCTTCCCAACAGCCTTATGGGATGATCATTAGCATGTTGTATTTCAGCCCTACCAACACTGGATTTGACAAAGTTCTTGGAAAATTAAATGACTTCCCCGTCCAGCACTCTTACGTTTCTTCATGCTACATTTTTCACTTGAATAACTATTCCTGGGCCACCACTCTATGCAATTCCAGGGCCCATGTGTTTTCTAGTACAAAATGCAATCTGCTTTGCAGAGAAACTCAGGAGACTATGCTAGGACTTTATTCTTTGTTCCATGACCAGAGTGATCGAGTCCTTAATAATCAGACTGCTCTGCAAATCTCAAATCTCAATATCTGTCTTAGAGGAGAAAAGCTCTGCTCCATTACTGACTCCCTCGTGTTGTATCATACCAGCCATGAATAAAAGTATGATGTATTTATCCTGCTTCAGCCTTCCTCCCTGTCCCTCCTTCGGTAACATTTTCTTTTTATCCCACACGCCACACCCAAATGGGAGCACTCAAGTTCACAGGCATGTGCTATTCTTTGCCTCCTTATCCAGGTCTTCATTGCTAATGTGAGTGCTCAGATTTTCTCTGCCTATACCTATTACAGTTGCCCAAGGCCTCCCTGAATTACCACTCCTTCCATATGGCTTTCCCCATCCCTCACAAAGTTGATACCTCTCCTCCCTGGGGATCCCATAGCATTGTAGTTTCTCTTTTATGCGTTTGAAGTATGCATATGTTACATTTCTCTAGCCTTTCTTTCTGTGCTATAAATTATCTAACTATGCTAAGAGCCTTCCTCATCATTTAACTTTCAGCTGTCCTAAACAGGGTGCATAGAGCAAGCACCAATTAATCATTTTTAGACTGAAGCCTACACTGAGCTTCAGATAAAGGGGTATGCACTCGCGCGCGTGCACACACACCCACACACACACACACACACACACACACACACACACACCTGAGCATTCAAACCAAAATGAGTTAGAAATAACTGGCAGTGTATATACCAAGGGTTCGAGAAAGACACCCGGTTCTATACTTTGGAATTTTTAAACACAACACCACAATTTATGGTTGCATCATTTAAAAGCTAGATTAGGCCTTCCAGGACAGAAAAGTAATTGATGAGTTAATGACTAAGTGTTTGATTTGCTGACTTCCTGACAGATACACATTCTAAATTCTCTTAATTCTCTAATCGTTTAAACTGATCTTGCAGAAATAGAGCCTTTGATGTATTTTATTCATAGAGCCTTAACTGGAGCATTTCCTTCTCATGAACTCTTCCCGCAACCCAGACATATGTGTGGTCCTTTCTCCTGCTCCTCAGCAGATCCCACACAGCCTTACTTGCTTCCTTGGAGGGAAGCTTGCCTGCAGGGCCTGGGTTGGCCTTGTAGACACTGCTTCTGCTGCACAGGTAAGTAATTTATCGATCTGCAAAGCACTCTGAGATGCTCTGTAAGGGATTATGTCACGCCAACACCATGCAATAAAATAAAAAATGATGGACTTTGTGAGCACAGGGTGATTTAGGGTTTGTGGTTGGAAGTGTGCTTAAAGTACATTTTAAGTGGAAATCAGTCCGGGTAATGAATTACTCTCGCTTTGGAAGGGCTTCCTGCGAGTTCATTTTCCTGGCTTCTTACATGATAGCTAATCTGCTAATCATACACTGGAGGACAATGGACAGTCCCCAAGCAAGATGGAAGGAGGTCTGGGCCAACGCTGTCAGCAGTCAGTATATTAAGTGAGATGATCACACCTCATGCTTTGAAAAATCATCTAGAATGGTCTCCCCCATCCCACCAGCAATTGGAAAGCACCCAACTCACAAAGTAGATGTTGGTAGCAAGTGCCATCTTTGTGAAGCTGCTTAAGAGATTGAAGAAAGCAATCTGTCCCTGGGTAAACTTGAAAGAGAAGGTGTTCATGGTAATGATCTGAGGTGGCATGGCTAGAAAGACAATCCCAAGCCTCAGAGCTAAATCAAAATCAGGCATAAAATGTTACAGGATTGGAAGTACTACTTCCTAGGAGTTCTAGCAAATTTCTAGAAATATTATCATAGTTTTTAAAACTAAATTGACATCTTGGAAGGACAGGGAAGAAGGCTGAGACAGGATAACTACATCAAACTTTTATTCATAGCTCATTTTTCATGTACCAGCATTAACAGAAACTAAGTAAATACACAATCCTTGCCCTTAAAGATTTCTCTGCCCAGAGATATAGAAGCAGATACAGAAGTCTAACCTTTAATACACTGTGACATAGTTGGATGAATTCGATGTTGGAGGAACACAAAGGTTAGACACCTAAGCCTGCCTGGAAATAGATGTCATGGGAGTTTTCTTGGAAAAATGGTGACTGTATTAGGCCTTAGGGGAAAATAAAATATAATCAAATTTGCAGATGGGAGAAGAAAAGACATTATAACAAAAAATAGAAGGAAAGTACCATTGATGACATTTTATAGCTAAGTACAATCATTAATGAAAGAAGCCTAATCTAGAGCCTAGGTAAAATGTCACTCAACAAACATTTTGTAAATTCATACTGTATACACAATTGTGTGCTAGGTATAGGAGTGACATGTAGAAATACACTAGTTTACACAGCCTTCCATGAACTTAATGTTTGGGCAAACCATTCATAGCAGTATTCTAGAGAATTGAATAGTAAATCAGAAATGTCTCAGAAAATTGTGTGTGATAGAATTTGAAATGACTGATCAGAATTTGAAGCTCCATGAGCTAGTAGGAGGGAAGACCACAGTACGTGGGTATGACAGTGATGCCTTACCTCATACAAGGACCTATTTTGGATATCAGCAAATGAGGGAAAGCCATGTATAAAAAAAGAGAAGCAGCCGGGCGCTGGTGGCTCACGCCTGTAATCCTAGCTACTCAGGAGGCTGAGATCTGAGGATCGTGGTTCAAAGCCAGCCCGGGCAGGAGAGACCGTGAGACTCCTATCTCCAATAAACCACCACAAAACCGGAAGTGGCGCTGTAGCT